TAATGAAAATCATGTTGTGGTAAACCCTCCTACAGTAGAATGAACTCTTCCTCCTCTCATAAATACTAACTGCGAGACTTCCTAGCAAGAGTCGTTGGGCAGCCGAGACGCAGTGTAACCTGATCGTTCGGACGGACACTTCTGTCTGCTTATTACTAACACTCTTGCTTTGTATGTATCTCTTATTTCAATACACTTGTCTTCCGTGTCTTTCTTTTCTCGCTCCTAAAAAGGCCACAACAACTTGGATCTCATCTTCGTCACCAAGTTGTTGTGGCCTGTTTAGGGGCAAGAAAAGAAAGACACAGAAGACGAAGGTAGGTTGAACAAGTGTATTGAAATAAGAGATATATACAAAGCAAGAGTGTTAGTAATAAGCAGACAGAAGTGTCCATCCGAACGATCAGGTTACACTGCGTCTCGGCTGCCCAACGACTCTATATTTAACAGTCCCCCCACGAGGAATGTATGTGGCAAAAGGCCGAGTTTAACGTGGGTTTTCTCCAAGCCCGTAGGCTCGGCCAAAAATATCCTCTTTGAACCCGCATAAGCGGGTTCGAGATCTGTCTACCCCCCGCCCCCCGGACGAAACTTTGCCCTTCAGCAAAGCCTCGTTCTGGTTCCTCTCTGATAAAGCAGAGAGTTCGACAGAAGTCGCACACAGTCAGAGACTGCTCTACGACTCTATATTTAACAGTCCCCCCACGAGGAATGTATGTGGCACAAGGCCGAGTTTAAAGTGGGTTTCTCCGAGCCCGTAACATCGGCCAAAAAATATCCCCTTTGAACCAGCATAATCGGGTTTGGGATCTGTCTTCCTCCCTGGACGAAACTTTGCCCTTCGGCAAAGCCTCGTTCGGGTTCCTCTCTGTCAAAGCAGAGAGTTCGACAGAAGTCGCACACAGAGACTGCTCAACAACACTTGCTAGGATGTCTCGCAGTTACTATTTCTGAGAGGAGGAAGAGTTCATTTTGCTGTAGTAGGGTTTACCACAAAAAATCAAAAACAAAGTAAGACCAAGGGTGGACCCCTGGTGGATACCTGCATTCATAAGAAAGGAAGTTGAAGTGTGGCCGTTCAGATTAGGGTTCAACCGTGGGCAAACTGTCCGAAGTTCATGATTCGTCGTATTTATGATAAAGCCATGATGCAAACATCAAATTGTAGTATATTCCATAATAACCGGTTCTTTGTAATGAGAAAAGCATATTGGAAACTCGTGACTGTCAAGTGTTTCTTATTGCCCAGGTGTTGCCTTTTATATTAATTGTTTAAACATTAAATAGCTCTGAAGGACTACACTTGGTTTTAGAGTTGGTTTTCATTCGTAAAGACTGCATTTCTTGTTAAAAAGTATACATCAACATGAAGACGAGAGAACTGTCTATGGAGGGAATGCGAACCATTTTGAAGCTGAGAAAAAAAAAGAAGAATCGATCAGGGCCATTCGACAAACACTGGGCATATACAGCACAACGATTGAAATGTCTTGAAAAAGAAAGAAACTACTAATATGTTAGGCAAGGATAACAACAGCATTTGATGACAGAAATATTGTGGGAACTGTGAGGAAAATCACCAAACAACTGCCAGTGACACCCCCAACAAACCCCAGAGTGAGGGGTGTTGGTTTCATAATCCACCTTTAGAAGAAGACTTCGAGAGCAGATATATGGAGGCCATGCCACAAGATGCAAACCACTCATTATTAGTAAGAGTCGGAAGGCGAGATTGGAATTTGCAAGGAAGTACAGAGATGAGTGACAAAGGTTCTGGAAGAAAGATTTTTGCGTTTATAAGACGAAGATTAATCTCTACCAAAATGATGGAAATGAAAAGAATTTGTTTAGGATCCAAAGCATACAAGCTCAATTGTGAAAGCTGAAGGATACCGTCGTGCCTTGAACAGGATCATTCATATTTATTGATGATGACATTTATGATGGTAACAGCAGAATGGATTCAGAAGTCTACAGAAAAAATATTCTGCCAATTTACAGAGAAATACATCGAAACTAATCATGAAAAATTTTATTATGCAGCAGAACAATAACCCAAAGCATACTGCCAACACAACAAAGGACTTCATCAGGGTAAAAATGTGGACATTTTTAGACTGGCCACTCCAATCATCAAACCATAACACAATAGAGCAGACATTTCATTTCCAGAAGGCGAGACTGATGGAAGAAACACCCGAAACAAATAAGAACTGAAAGTGTCTGGGTTAAAAATTGTAAAAGCATTTTCAAATGAAGAATGCAACAGTTTGGTGATGTCAATGGGTCGCAAGCTTTACGCACTTACTGCAAGCAATGGTTATGCAACCAAATATTAAATGTTAATTAATTTATGACTATCTGTTCCTTTTCTTTTGCTTGCCTAAAAATAGGGTGATCTGATACAAAAGGTGGTATGCACTAAACTGTTTAACACATCTAAATGTAAATACCATTATGTAAAAACTGAAATTCTGAACTCTTGTCTCATATTAATCTT